ACCTAGACAGGAAGACGATTAGGGTCCTCAACCAAAGTCTTTGGCTCAAAAGCCTAACCGTAAGGCGGCGGTGTTTGGCGGGAAAGTGCAAATGCATTACCTTTTTTACGGAACAAGTCGCCATACATGTTCCAACCCCAAACCTGGAGGGCCAGATCCGATAATTACCAAGCCATAGACTTCGAATTCTCAAAAGTGAAGCGGTGTCTCCTGGAAAGGCTATTCACGGTCAATCCACTGAACGCTTCGTTCTGTTCGATGGATGATGCGCATGTTCGGAGTTCACGCCTTCGTCCGCAGTCACCGATCTTGCTTATGTGCACTGGCTATAAGAACTCAAATGGATTTTGCCTGATGTGGCACATAAGCTCTCCGTCTGATAATTATAGGGTCCTCCGTGGGGGGCATTCAACTGACTATCCGCCAGTAATTAGATTCCCGGCAAAATTTGACGCATTATTTACACTTAGAAATCAAACGATGTGTTTTGTCCTAATCGTAATATAACATTTATACAGTGAAAAATGAGAAGTCACGATTCATATAGCATCAGCAGAAAGATAAGCCTGATGTCACTTTGTATCGTTCTCACATTTATTGGTTTAGTGAAACCCGACTGCGCGGAAAACAGTTTACTTCCACAAGACAAACGGCGTGAATGGTCGTTTCGACCTAATCTGGAGCCTACGCAGTTCTGTGCCCAAACAACGGAAGGTCAGGCAACCACAATGCATCGATTTACAAAAAGAGCATCACCCATCTAGACAACAACTAATCTAGCAACTTGGATACGATCCCACCCAAACGACTTGCATCTACGGCAATAATTTTCTAAACAGTTTCAATCAGACTGACAATAGAACTGAATCTTAGCTGTCGATTAAATTCACAGCGCCTTAGTTTTACTTCACACGTTTCGTGTGTCTCCATCAAACTGTAAATAGACTAATTCATTGAATGGGATAGACAGAAACTGAAGGGTTTGGAAAACGGTCCGTGCTTACTTTCATGATTTTGTTCAACTGATCCATCCCGACGGGCTTGGAATCAAACTTTGGATCTCTAACAATTCGCTCGATATCCTCCAACCGACGAATCCCCAAAGGCTCTAGTGGATGAAGCTCCAGTTCATATATGCCATGGCGAAATACCCTAAAAGGAGTTCCAGAATTAATGACAACAATAAACCGTGCGTTTAAAACCTATCCAGTTGTTAAACACTGCCCACAGTAGTCATACGGTATCAAGACTTCGACTGCAAGAGCGGCTGCGTAGAAGTGAACTCAACAATTTGGCTATTCACAACCCGACAGTGTAAACATCGAAACATCGATGACGTCAGTCTTATAATTCTGTGACTAGTATGGAGAACACAAATATATCAGGCCCGTTACAATGTATGGAAACTGGGTATTCTCAGCCCCGCTGTGGAGGGAGATTATTCTGCATTTCTTGGATGCCCAAAAAACCCAGGGGAAAGTATGTGTTTGGCGGGGTGCTATATGTGGTATATCAGTACTTAATGGACAAGGTCCTTAAAGGCCCAGTTTGTGAAGAAATGATTTAAAATGTTCCTAGACATGGGCAACCAACCAGGTTACTAGCCGAAAATTCAAGAAATACGTCTTTACTTCTTACAAGCACTGCTTATTGATGTCGGTCACCTGCAGAACAAAATTCTTGTCATATCAGCGTCCCTCTTTCTGTTCTATAATTCAAGTTACTAATAGAATACTGTAGAAATAAATAAGAAATTATTGAGAACGTGGACAGTTGTTAGATGGCACCTCAGAAGTCAGAAACGTAGTTCTCGGACGTTAAGCTCACATAACTTTTTTACACCTGATTATGGAACTACAAGAAACATACAGCATGAGAACCATGCCACAACTACCAAACCACCTATTTTGTTGTCTCACTAGATACACAGATCGTGGACTAACGTCTCGTTTCCTCCGAGTTATCCAGGCCTTCAGACCATGAAAGTGTAAGCCATCGACCCAGTTTTATTTTGCAAAAGCTAAGACGACCGTCAGTACTGGTGAAGTATCCAGAAGGCAATTATGTAGGTGCAACTGAACGGGGTGGTGACGCACAGTGGGAACCATTGAGTACGGCTTTCGAAGGGACCATGCACCCATAGCAAACAATCATCTAGCGCTGGATTTTCACTGAACTGGGTAGTAGCCATACATATACAACAGACCAAACAATGGAAGTAAAAAGCAAAAATGAGCGCTTTCCACTCAAGTCACTCCTTCTGGACGTCAACATCACGCTAACTCATATTTAGCATGCAGAGAGAGTGGATGAGACCCAGCAGCTTGACACTAAGCAATGACTATCGCGGACTCAAGGGCGAAGTCTGTCCTCTGGCTTCGCTAGATTGTGGTAATGACAAGACCTGCACAACCGTGAAAAGTCACGCATGCTTCAACTCCCAGAGACTTCGAAAGCATAGAAGCCCTACTTCCTTCCTCTAAAGTGGACGTTGCTACATATCACTATCTGGTATGAGCTTGGAGAGCACTCCTGAGATGCAGACTGTCGTACGACCAAATTCTTTAGCTTTTTGGGAAAACCATCAGCAAGATATTTCGAGGGTCCTTGACTGGTTTACCTAACTCCATTCAACTCCAAAAAGTACTCACTTTTTTGAATTGTACAGCTGCATATTAGCACCCGCGAGTAACTGTTCGTGAACACCCTTTTCATCGGTGTACGTGGATGACAGAACAAAGCACACGCCATTATAGTCATACAGTGCATTATAAGGCAGTGGCAACTCGATCACTTCGTCGAAACGGCGCACATCGGTGAGTGTTCTTTCGCTCGAACAGTGCCGAGTCTCACACCAGGGACTGATGATACAACAGTCGAGATGCGGAACAATCTTTGTTATGCAGTAAGAAATCCGCGGCTCTCCATAACACGCCAGGGGCAGGTAGCTTCCCTTCACGACCTTAAACTTCTCGGGATGGAAACCAGATAAATTCATACTATTAGTGAGAATTCAAATGAACAGCCACTTACATCTTAATACACGGTAGAATCGACTCATCATTGAGTGGCGGACCCAAATCACACGACGAGAAATACTGCAGGGTCAAAGAGCCCATAGCTTGAGGGTGGGTGAATATGGATGAGATTAATTGGACAGTTCTCCCTTCTGTCAGATGCGAATCTGTCAGAATCACTGCTCTAAAATATAATACACACAACAGGATGAATATTGAGAACAAAAAAAGCATGAAATAAGACGGGAGACATCCAGGTAGAACACGATGAAAATATTCTGAATGCGACTGAAAAAAGTCGCAGTCAGGTCACGGCACTTTCCAACTCGCTAGTGAAATTAAAAAAATCCTAAGCCTTTCTCCGAGAACAAGCTGACAGCCTAATTTTAACTTCTTCAGTGATTGGTGACCTGTGAATGGACTACGCGCGAAGAATCGCGTATCCGTGGCCTTTTGTAGATATCTCATTACGTTGAACTGTTTAGACCATTGCTTGTGGCGTGTGATTATCCCAGTTCTAATACTCATTACCGTTGACAAGTGAAATCGTGCTTTTGATGCGGTTTCAAAAAGGTATGCGTACGCTGTGTGAAAAGTCCATGGCATCAGCTTGGTAGTTGTGATATCGAAGGTCCGCTCTAGTCTTATCCTTCGATAGTTGACTGAACACAGGGAGAAGCACATTATTGAAAACCAAGCTGGATGCCGTCCTGATCCGTCACCCTCTGGCAGATCCTGGAACCGGACCACTGCTTCCAACAACACACGATGGTTGTGTTCCTTGATCTGAAAGCTCCCTTTGACTTTGTGGACCGTCGGACACTATGGAAGGCAAAGGTGTCCCCTATGAATTCTTGATCTTACTTAAGGCGCTGTAGGCCAACTCCCGCGGGCGTATGAAGTTCTATGGTTAGAGCGCGAATTTACTGACCAGGTCGGTGGTTTGGACCCGACCTCTGCCTCCCGACTTCACCTGTCCAGGCTTGGGCAACCTGGCAGTATCCCAGCCCTCATGCTTCCTTCGAATGGTATAACAGTTAGACACCGAAAGGGTGCTACAGCTGAACGACTGCTGCACAGCAGCGAAGTATCAGTGCTGAACATTCATGACATACTGTACATGATGATACTGATGGCGACGAGGGGCAGCGAACTACTGTATTGTGAAGTCTTGTTACGAGAGGTTTTAGAGGCTGACAGCAGTGGAAGGTGGAAAAGTGCCTCTCCAAAGCCCACAGTTTTCCATATTTGTGGAAAGTACGACGCTGCTTACGCCAGAGAACATACGAGTACTAAAAGGTAGGCCTTGAAGGTTTCATACCCCAATCTTACAGTGGCTGTCTGTGATCGTTGGCGCATTGTTCAGCACAGACGAAAGAAGCAATTGTTAAGCACAGGAGCATTAGGGGTTCCATTTCCATGGTCCATTCGCTGCTCCTTCGTTTAGGTCAGCCTCTACTGACTTCTGCCTAACACCTTGGGTTGAGGACTCGGGATAAGCTACCGAACTATGCCCCGGTTCCTAGTAAAAGCTAGTAAAAGGAATTGCTTATCCATACTTGATGCAGGCTGTTACCAAAGCCAGACACACTTGCAAATCGGAGCCCAGAACTTGAGGACTTCTCAAGATAAGAATAAAGGAACAGGCTTGGAACTCACCTACCTAGGACAGAACTCATATTCTGCAGCGCGGACCTCGTTGCACTTGGTGAAATCTGGGAAGTTGTGGGAGGCTCGTTCAAGTCATAAGTTCAAGAGGAGCGGAACAACAAAAGTAAGCCGACCTGAAAGTTTTTAATTGGCTTCATGTTACGGATCTCGGTGGCCCGAACTTCTCCATCAGGGTTAGTCAACGGTGTAGTCCAGACCCTGCATGTGTATGTCCAACAGGTGTTTGGACCTTGTTATCGTTAGAACGGAATCGGTTCACATAAATAGGGAGTTCCATATGCGGAAAGCAAGTAGGCAGTGAAAACATCGACGGTAGTCAAGAGCTACCCTGGTAGCAGATCTTCAGTTCATGGACTTCGCGGTTGGTACTGCTAGCGAGATTGAGCAGTAAGTATCAGAAATGATCCTGAGAAGCCACTGTTTGGCAGTTGAGTAAAAGGTTGCTTCTCAACCTCCTGTGGGCATTGGAGTGCCAGCCGAGGAATAGTAGGCTCATTTTATGGAGCGTTTTGAAGCCTTCGGACTAAACTGCGGCGCAGCGGTGTGCAACTTCCGAAACTACCTAATCATGATTGAGGGTGATCACACTTGGGATGCAAATTCAACGTGAAACGTGTTGTAAAATGAATGCTAAAGTTGCTCTCATCCTATCTTTATCATTGACAGCACATCCGTTTTCGACATTTATGGATCGCAGATGCACAATCACTACTTATTTGAGTCTTATCATCATCATCATCATCATCATCATCATCATCATCATCATCATCATCATCATCA